AAAAAAAAAAAAAAAGAAACTTTTCAGAAATTGCTTGTCATATGTCATTAAATAAAGCAACGAAGAAGAAGCGGAAGAAAAAGTCGAAAGAAAAGACAAAGTTGCTTTGGCAGAGCTCTATTCATTCCAATTCCTAGAATTCTTCTACATCTAATTACTGGAAACTTAACGCCGACTAATCGATTTCTGTACAGTAAAACAAAAAAGCACTAAACTACGAATTCCTGTTCGGTCCTTTACTCCTCGTTCAAATCAATCAAAAGTACGGGGAATTATAGGGTACAGAAAAGAAGTGAGTAGGAGGTGATGAGAAGGAAAGAAAGTTGTTAGCTGAACCTTGCAAATATAGGCAAACATAATGAGTAATAGTGTTGTATCGTTCTCAATTTTACAGATGTCAAATAACGTCAAATATAACAGAAAAACTTTCCCCCTAATACAGTTTTCACATATACATTTTATTGCTGCAACGGTAGAAAGCATAACAGAAAAAAATTTAGTGTTATGTAAATTTAAGCTATACATTTTGATAACATTTATCACCACTATTATTTCAATATGAAAAATGGTTAAAAAAAATGAAATGTCTAAGAACATTTGAAAAGCAGTTTGTTTACAGGAAAATGTCGGTAATACGCAAAGAACTTATGCTTAACACTAAATTGCCATCAGTGTCAACAGTTGGTGACAGACCACCGATATAGCGGAGGCGGGCAAAACTGTCAAGCAGAAGTTTGCTACTGAGAAGGCCGATGATAATTTATTAGCCAACGCATCTGATAAGCTACTTAAAGTGTTAGCAGAATTGTTTGCCGACAAAGGTTGAAGTATCAACAACTTCATATGCGCCTTTTTTTTGAAGACCCTACCGAACAGTGCCCTACCGAACAGTACACGGGTATTTAGTTGGTTACTAAACAAATGCGATCGACTGCGGAAAATGTGTTTGATTTACTTTTTTTCTTTTTGAAACCACACTGCTACCGTTGCTGCCGTTACCGACAACGATGGTCACAGATATAAAGGTTCTTTGAGCTAATTGAAAACTTCAAAAACTGTAGTTCAATGAAACGTAAAGACTATAACGAGATATTGGAAAGAAGTAGCGAGAAAAGAAAAAAGAAGATGTCCAATAAATTCATGGAAAAAATAATTCTGAATGAAACAGTGAAAGAAATACATCTGAAAAAAAAAGACTGGTATTATTACAGCTCTAAAAAATAATTTGAAAAAATTGTTATAATAGAAGAAAGAAATTTTTTTTTTTTGCTCGAACAATATAATAAAATCTTAGACTTAATAATGTTATGATATAAGAATAATAACACAGATCTTATAACCAATTAGTCAATATGAGTTTAAAAATGGTCATATTGACTGAACAGTCAAGAAATATATTCTTGAAACATATGTTTCCTCTCCATCAATAGTTTGTTCTACAGAAATACACCAACTAAACTGAAAGTAATAACTTTAGCATATAATGGCAACTGCAATTCTAAAAATCCTTTTTTTAGAATTTGCAGACAATTAAAAACATCCAAAGTTCTATCTTAGGCTAGACAAAGTCTAGCAATAAAACTGATGATTACCAAGTTAAGTCTTAAAATAGTTTACTCGCACACAGTGGTTGTAATAAAATTTGGATGAATCATATGGTAACTTCATCCTTACCACCTAATAAACCATTATTCCTATTCTCCTCATTCCAACCTTTCTTTCGCATATTTCAATGATCAAAAAACCTGTACGAAAATTGCAAAAAGCTAATTAAGCCATGCCAAAAACTAGACGAAAAAAAAAGCGCAATAATTTTCTAAAGTTTGAAAAAATAGATTTAATAACACTTACGATCACAGCTTCGTCGTCGTCGTTTACGACGTTTTCGTTGTAAATCATCAACTCTAACCCGTACACTGTCGTTGGTTTCATGACTGTGTCTGTAATGGATAGACACTGAATTCATAACACTGAACAAATGCATAAGAATGCGAAAATATAAGTGTAAAAGTATAAGAAAAAAAAAATGTGTCAGGCAAGAAAAAAAAAGAAAGCTAAATGAATTCATTAGCTTAACAGCAGAAATTAGAATTTGATAGCAAAAACAAAAAAAAAAAAATCCAGGAAAAACCCTACTGAATTTTATTGTCAATAACAACCAAAAACAAGATATGACGTGGGTTGTAATTGTGAAGATCACTAAAGTGATCTAACTAATTAACTGGTTGATCAATTTATAAGCAAAAGAAAAAAAAAGGTATACTTCATTCAAATATGCTGTTATTGAAAATGATTTGTAAAAAAGTTCTGGAAAACAAAAAAAAAAGATTAATAAACGGTAATCAGGTAACAAATAGGTCAAAAATTTCGATTTAGTTTCTAACGATGTTTTTAGTTGTGAAGTAAAAAAACAATTT